TGTATTTTGCAGCAGTGGGCGCAAAAGTCGGCAAAATTTCAAAGTCGGCATCATTAACACCAATGCGCCATTTTGGTTTGAACTCGATGAGTCGTTGAAGTCGATGTCTCGGCGAGTCGTGCTGTTGATTGATGTAGTATGTAACATTGTGGCCGAGCCGTGAGTCGAGTGAGTGAGTTTACCAAATTGTTAAACCAGGCCAGCTGGTAACTAACTGCTACCCTGTAGAAACGCCCCAAGGGTCTGTAGCTACCGTCTCTTGTTGTTTTAGTGTCGTTCGTCTATGCTAATTTGTTATTTTAAACATGTTTGTTTGCTTTTCCAATGAAAATATTGACAAAAAGGTTGCGGCAGGCAGGCCCAGTAGATATTTAAGAAATGCTGTATATATAGTCTGTATATATATACACAGTCAGGGGTAACGGCAACAACAAACAAGCGAGCCAATTAACGCAAAAGATACAATTTGAATTCGTAATGAATTTCGTATAGAGTTTTATTTTGGCCAAGTCGATGAGGGTAAATTAATAAACAAACAATTAATGTGCAATTGCAAAAGTGTACTAAAGTAATTTAGAGTTTCTTGTCAAATATAGGTAAAAGAAAAGAATATATACCCCTAAACAGAAGAGCTGTCTGAATAATACTTAAAATATACTTTAATATATATATATATATATATATATATATATACTATAACTTAATCCGCTGTAAAATCTCAGCTGTTGAAAAAACGAAACGAGTGGAAAAACAAAATTAAAAATTAGTATCTACTGTTAGACGATTTGTATTACATAAAGTATTTTTGAATTTAATGGCCAAAACCGTAATATTTTCATACTAAAATCTGTTACATGAAAGCACATTCGAAAATTTGTATTTTTTCTTTACATATTGAATAGACTTTTGAGCAATTGATTGTCATTTCTTAAGATAGACTAAGCTTAGATGATTCTAATCCATATTTAGGTATATATCCTAGATACTCATACTTATATGACAAGGACTATTACAAAGGGATGAACATGAATCGAGTTGAAGCTTGTATTTTGCAAGATCATGACCATAATTTTCGAATCGAATTGCACTAAGTAGACCTCATTAAGGGTTGGCATATTAATGTAATGCAAATTAGAATTAACTGCTGTCGAATGAGTTATTATATTTGGCAATTGTAGCTTGTTAAATTACTTGGTTTTGCTTCATTTTTGAGCTATTTCCAAGTTTTTTTTTAAGAATATTTTTGGTATAATAAGTGATCGAGGATAGGGATTCCGTGCTAGTTGACATATGTTTCAGATAGGCTTTCACATTCCACCACCCTCAGAGCAAGTTTCCTTTATCAGGAGCCACAGATCAAAGGACTGACACATTTTGTTGCATTTCATTAAATGAATTGCTGGCGCCTGTTGCCGTCAAAACTTTCCCACGTTTGCCGCCTACCTAAGAGACTGGGCGAGGCGAGGCGAGGCAAGCGCAGATACCACGCAAAGTCGTTACGTGCAACGCGAGGCCAGGTCGAGCTGCAACACTTCCGCAGCTCATTTTTGTCACCGGAAAGGTAAATCACGAATTTGTAGGTTTTGCTGACCGCGCAACAAGCGGAAATTTCTGTTCGCCGTTTGGGGTGAAAATGATAGAAAATACGCGCAGCTTTTCAAGTTTTTCCGCGCACACATTTCCACCCCGAATGACAAAAATATTTATAATGCTATCCATGGTGGTGGTGGTGGTGGTGGTGTCGGTGTTGTTGTTGTTGCTGTTTGTGCCAAGTGCGTGGCTCGGCGTCTAGCAACCACCGCGAATCGCGGCCTTTTAATTGCATTCGATATGCGCTTTTGGGAAATTTCCCACGATTTTCGTGCAAGATTTTTCCAAGGTAACTTAACTGCACTCGCAGATGCGGCGATAAGCTCGGCTGCTGGCCCTCCCTCTACCCCCTCTCCCGCTCGGCTCAATACGCAATGCTCATCACCATAATCACAGTCATACATGGACTCTCATCCTCATCATAATCAACATTCTGCCCGTTGATTGTTTTCGCGACTGACCGCGATGCTTGGCAAAGGGGTTGGGGTTGATCGAAGGAACGCCTCTAATCTAAATAGCTGCACACACACACACACCTTGGACAACGGTTAGATTCCTTAGCGTATTCTGAGATTTGTGTGACTCATAACGAGTTTTTCGTATTGTTCTAAATGTTTTCGTTTTTTTTTTTTCGTTATTCGCTTCGCTTGGACCTTAAGTGGATCGGTATGAAGATCGGGATCGGTATCGCGCAGGCGCTGCTAATGCCTGGCCATTGTTCGGCACCTCGCGAACGCCTTGGCATCCTTTGTTAAGCGCCAGCTGCCGCTTTGTTTGCCCATGGACAGCGGCGAGCGCCCATGGCCGAGCCTATTAATCCAGTTCCTGTTTTCCACTTTAAGAGCAGCAGCGGCCGAGGTAGTTGAGGATTCAGTTACGCCAGCTTAAAGCGGCGCCCAATTGAGGCAAGAGATACTTTATGTAAATTTGATAAGTATTATAGTTACTTTTTTAATCCAGTTTAAATCGAGCCTGGCTGTCCTTTCAGATATTAAAAGGGGTAGCATTTATAACAGAAAAGTGTTGTATAAAATATGGACAGACACTCGAGATTTATTGAAGAAAAGTGTTTGCATTATGGCTTAAAGAATATATTATTTACTATGCATATATACGAGGCATAAATATTTACCTTTCATTCCTTACGATAACGGTTGTGTGTTAAATGTTAAAACAATTATTTTTTGATTATACAAATTATTTAATATTTCAGTTTTGCCAGTTTTCTTATTCCTTTACTTGTACTCTTATTACTCTTATTTATAGTTTTCGATCAAAATTTCAATTTTATATAAATACAAATCTCTCCATAAGCAAACCGAGTGGCTTTCCTTTTTTTTTATTTAATATGTATTTTGCTTAAAAGCATATCGTTTGCATAAATAAGAAAGTCTTAAAATAAAAAATATGAATAAGAAAACAGGAAGCTTTAAAGCCACAATATTTAAACAGCTTGAATTGCCAAAAGTTGATTATCAGTTCCCGCGGGTAACATATATACAAATGATAAGCACGCAATTAAATAAACAGAAATATTTAATTATCAGTTTCGGATTGTTGAAATGTGAATAAATCATATTTCACATATCAAATTTTAACTATTTCGAGTATTATAATAAAGCTAAACAATTTCATTTATTATTTTGTATATTTATTATACCAAAAGCATTTAAATATATATTTAAAAATATTTCCCGCTCAAAATAAATTCTTTTTGTTTGCCATGCAGAGCTATATTGTATTGTCTTAGTTGTATTTTAAATTCTGAACGAAGGCTTTCCCCAGATGCAAATTATGCACTCTTTGTAGCTGTAATTCGCAATTGAATTGTTTCAATTGAGTCACCTGCTTATATAAACAAAAGTCAGACAATCCCTGTCTATAACAATCGAAAAACGTTGTCTGTTTCTTATTTATATCACTTGGATTTACATTGTTTGGGACTGGCACATGCCTCGTTAAACGGGTAACACGCGGTCCTCTACTCAATTCAATTGAATAAAAACATGCATACATATGTATATAGTATTTATGCTTTCATAAAAACAATAAAAAACAGAAAAGAGCTTATACAATAATACAGCGTTTCAAAGATGTTGTGAATCCATCATCACTGAAAATATGGAGCACTCCGTAACAAAATTTAGATAAAATATTTTTGAATGTGGACTAGGCCTTCTTCAAAATTCCAAACAATTGAATTGAGTTTATTAATGTACTAAGTTATGAAAGCTTGAAAACATTTCTTAAACTACGCACAACAATTCTTTGAGACGATCCCAAATGTTTTTCAAGGGAAATACATTTACTATATTCCTAAGCTTACATAACTCTACCGCCAGGGAAGTTCCCACAAAGTATGACTTCCCCGAACAAAGTAGAGGTGTTTCACAATTTGTTTACATAGTTCGAGCTAAGCCTGAAACATGAATTAATTTAGCAATTAAATAATCATATCTCTAATGAACTCACATTTGGAAAATATACGTTTTTTAGGCTTCCAGGGATTTTCCTATTTTTGCACAGTCTAAAGATTCATTATGAGTCGAGGAAAGGGCCAGGATGCGCTCGTGGAGTATCATTTGGCCGAAGAACAGCAAAACACTCAGAAAGATATACTCATTCTTGGGCACATCGAACTGCCGATCGTGAATTATGGTAGCCGTGTACATGATCATCGTAACAGCAGTGATAGCAAAATAATTGCGTACAACTGTGTATATGGCGCTAGTCTCGAACACGTAGGCATTGAGAAAGAATATGATCAGCATTACATTTGAGAGAGCAACGCCAAGGCTGAGCATCAGGTCACCAGGCACCATACGCATTGGAAAGTAAGCTCCGTAGAAAATAGAGGTGACCACCACGAAAACCACAATAAGAGCCGCATACATATTAACCAGTAATCCCTTAGTGTTTTGCTGCTCCATGGCAATGTATAAGGTCGAGGTCTCCACGATGAGCAAAACTAGGGCCATATTCCAGGGGAACTTGCGTCCAAATGGCGTACAGGAGAGCACGCAAATACCAAAAAATGTGCCCATTAGCCAAAACCCATATCTCACCGGCGGCACTTTATATTTGCGCCAGTCCGAGAAGTATCCAATTATGATCCACTGGAGTAGCGCAAGTGCGGCAAAGACCGCACTCAACAAGTAGATGCGCATGCCGTGACGTATGTTCAGATCGGGTGGTATACCATATACATCCGGCGGTTCAGGAGGCATTTGAGTATTTTCGCCCTAACCAATTTGACAGTTAAAATCAAGGATTGAAAAATGATCCAGAGCAAGGGAAAACAATGTTAGAAATGTTTCAAAACAAAAAAAAAAAAAATAAAAAGAATAATCGAACTTCTCCAAATTTTGACACCTGAACTAAATGAACTAAATGCTAAATGCTAACTGAAATTTTTCGGTCTTGAGTGTTTTATTTATTCGGATAAATTTAATTTACCTTCCCTATTGCAGGTACCTGTCACCTGTTTTTAAATATAAGTGATAGTAGTAAAAATATGATATGCAGATGAAGACCGCCACAAAATCAAGGACAATGCTGACGGCGCAAGACGGCAAATCAAACAGTGGCACAATCTGTAGGCGACCGTGTATATACTGTGCGTGAAAGGGTATTACTATGACCAGTAAACAGAATAGCAGGACAAAGAAAACGAACCCGTAGACTGGGTCCCTAAGGAAAAACATGAGAAACGCGAACACCAGGAGCACTATCATAATTATGATCATTAGACATCCAGTTAGTAGGCCGCCCGGCAGAACTGTCAGTGGGCACATGGCGCCACAGACGTGCAATATCACGATCACAGCCAGTGCAATTACCATTCCACAAAGAAGTATAAGTGGGTCGTATAGACTCATATAACAGCAGCCGCCTAGAGTTAAAAATGCTACGATGCACACAACTAAGATCCAGTTTACGGGAAAGATATAGCGCACCCTCGGGCACCAGTGGAATATAATGAACGTAACGAACGTCAATATGAACCACACAAAACTAGGCACCTTCGTCGCCTCGATGAAGTCGACTTCGAGAATCGAAATGGTCAACCAAACGGCGCACGTGATCAGAATGAAGACAGTGGCAATCAAGTAAACTTTGCGTACAAATGCCACGAACAGTTCTTCGGGGATGACTACCACAATCCTATTCTGGTCCTGTTCGCCAAGCGCTCGGCCTCCACGCGAGAAAACAATTTGTGGCTCTTGCTGTTGTTGTTGTTGCTGTTGTTGCACATATTGCTGCATCCGTCGTTGTTCTTGCTGTTGCTGTTGTCGCTGCAGTTCCCGCAGTTGCTGCATTTGATCTGGTTGCTGTGCACTCTGATAGCTCGGATGCATGTTGTCGTTATTGTTGTTGTTATTATTAACTTAACCTTAAAATTTTTGATTCCATACGTCAAACAATATATGTATTATTATAGCTATAATTATTGTGATATTGACAGTCATAACGAAGCTGCTTTGTGAAAACGTCTTGGTTTTTCATATCTATTTGAAAGTCAATTCAGTTGTGTGTCTTAACATTTCTCAAACATTGCTAGCATTCTTTAACTATTTACAATTTCAATGATTTTTTGCTAGTGATATCTATATATTATAACTTATACTTGTTCATCGTTCATTGAGCTATGTTATTTTTTTTTGATTTTGTAAAAATTAAGCAAATTTATTTCTTTTCCATTGATCAATTCGAAGAGTTGTATGGCTAATTTTATTATTTGAAATATTTTAAAAATTTCGAAATTGGTTGATTTCTATTAGTAAAAATACTTTTTTTTTTTGAGAATATCTATGACGGCCATTTGGGATTGGAGGCGTTACAAATACTGCAGTTATCGCCGGGTAAAAAATATAATCAAATGGGATCACATTAGACGGTGGATTATATACGAAATCAAATTAAATTTCCTTATTAAATTCAACAAGGATAATTATTAAACATATATACATATACAAATTACACTATTCGATTAAACACATCTGACATCCGCAAATATTTCTTTATTATTTACTGTTGATTGACGCTCACCATTTGTGCACCCAGATGAGGTAGTAGAACGCCATGAAGAATAGACTGAAATGCATGTAAATGATAACTGCACAGCTCAAAAATGCCTCCTTGGGTAGCCTATATCTACGACCATGTATGACTTGGGCATGAAATAGGGACATGGGCAGCGTTACAAACAGAATGAGGCCAAAATAAACAACTCGGTATACGGACTGATCCGTGAGTATAAACAATATGAGCACCACTCCGGCCAGAGCTGCAAACACAATGAGCACCACGACCAATACTATCACGCCGGGCAAAATAAACATGGGCAGCCATGCTCCCTGAAAATAGCACACAGCGAGAACTATAAGAGCCGCAACGAGCGCCACCGAGATGTTTTGTATCGATCGCACTGGTAGCAGCAGTATCACACTCAACGCGACGGTCTCCACAAAGAGCCAGGCAAAGATGCAGCCGAACCAGCGATTGGAGCGCAGCTGCAAGCAGAAGGTAAGCATCATTAGCGCTGTGAAGGCCAATAGCAGACAGATAAATCCAGGCAGCACAAATAAACCCTTCTGCTTCACCAGGAGGGTAAACAGCAGCCATTGGAACACCGTGATGACCATAAAGATGCCGGCCAACAAATAGCAGCGGTTCATAAAGTTGAACACCTGATATATGTCATCATTCTCGGCAGGCGGCAGTTCGTTTGGCTGCAGGAAGTGCACTAGCGGTCGTTGTTGCCGCTCTAATGGCGGTTCTTGCGTCAGCTCTGGCTGGCCCGGAAAGTGATGTAGCGGCAGCTCGTAGGGCCATAAATCCCAATAGCGTCTCGAATTCCAGCTGAACATTTTTCCAACTGGGTTGACTAGAAATTTTGACAGTATAAGCTTCGCCTTCAGCTTAAAGCTGGGCTCGCCGTCTCAACAAATCTAGAGCAGAGGTATTGATTTGGATTGGAAAAATTATAGCTTATATTTGTTTATCATTGAGCTATGTTCTCGTCAGGGACTTTGTGTGGCAGTTGAACAAGATTTTGAAAGCTCCAATTTTGTATTTTTTCAACCATTTTAAGATGCCTTCACATTCTTATCAATTTATTTATATATTATTTTTGGCCCTAGAGAAGATATTTATCAATTTATATATATGATTTCTTATTTAAGCTTTAATAAAACTAACTTTGTAATACATTAGGCTAACCGAATAAGAAAGATATATTGTATTGAATAATACAATTAATAATTGGCTGAAATAACTTCAAAAATAATGTTTTTTACTGTAATAAGCAATAGTTATATTTATAAGTATTACATAAATATTATAGTAAATTTGATGCTTTGTTAATATTATATAATATAAAATGCACTGAATACGCAATAAGCCATTCAAACATCTGTCTTAGTTCAAAAAGCCCTATCACATAGTTCTATCTTTATTTATGTATCTTTTGGCCAAATGTTTCGGTTGTAACTCATTGTGGTGCCTCGCCTCGATTGAGTGTCATGAAAAGGCGCTCTGCTGGCAGCGGAAAATGCAGTGAAGCATGCACAAATCAACAACAACAACAACAACAGAGGCAGTTTGGGAAATGCTAAGTAGCAACGATCAAAGCTAACAAAACAGCCACAAAGGATGCAGCGATAATAAGGACAACGAGGACTGATGCATATGGCAAACGCGCGGCTCTCCCTATTTTCAGGCGCTGCTCGACAATGTTTGTTGTTATTTGGCTGATCGCTTGAATGCCGCGCAATGGATATAAGAAAGAAGGAAGTGTATCTTTGAGATGCGCGCACCGCCGCATCTGCGGCCTCCATCACGAATCACGATCACTTTCACAGACGGCGGTCGCGGCATTGTCTAAAAAAATGACTCAATCAGTTGGCTGCTGCTTATCCTTGATCCTGCTAAACACATGCAAATGCTTTTCCATTTCCAGCAGACAGTTGGCAAAGGGCTCAGAACGACTCACAGGAAAAAGCAGCTGCATTTGATATGATATTTCCCTACTTACTTACAGAGTGCTCCTAATGCCACCCTAAGCACATCAGCTTTTGTTAGACCTAAGACTTTTCAATCAAATTGTTAACTTTACATATTTCATTGATCTTCTGCTCAAGTAAATGGAGTCCTTTTGCTTAAAACCTATTATTGGATAAACAACATTTTAAAGAGATTCAATTATATATTTCCTTCGTTTATTAAATTATATTATATAAGTTTACGGACAGCAAATTGTTATAATTTATCTAAGGTATTTTATTATTATTTTTTTAATTTTTACTTACTTAAATATTGTTATAGTTTTTATTTTTATTATTATTCTTATCAATCTTTATTGCTATCAATAATTCTTATTATGTGTTGCTAAATATTTGTATATATAAAAGTCTCTTATGTTTCTTAACATTATTATATCCATGTCTACCAAACTGAGATTTAAACTTAATGCTGAGCTACAACATATACAAGATTATTACATTTTTTTTACATATTTCACAAATGTTATAAGAATTTCATAACGATCAGCTTTCCAGCAACCCTTAGTTCGACTATATCAGACGACAACTATGATAAACTAGTTGAGGTCAATGTACGCCAAGAATTCTTAAATTGACAAAAAACTTGGAAAAAGTGAAAGCGCGCCAGCAAGTGCTCGACAACGTCACGACATGCAAACGAATGCAGTGGAGCAGGCAGCAAGAGGGAGGGCTAGGGCAGGGGTACGGAGTTGCCGCTGCTGTCCGGCCACATGACACACATGCAACAAACTAATGCGAGGAATGCGAGTTGGGATTGGGGCACACTGGATTTTGCATGCGAGCCATGCGAGGGCCAACAACATGAAACGCTTCGGGCCACAAAAAGCACAGTCCAAAAAGCTCACAGAAGCGTAACGAACGAGGCACACACAGTTACACACACACACACAGATACACACACACACGCTTACATAAACAGATGTAGACACAGATGAGCAGAGACGTCCGCTTCAGGCGTGGGTCAGTGGAGAGCTTGGGCACAGGTTCATATATATCTAGTCTCTATGTGCTGTCTGTACAATTTATAATATTCTATTAGTTCCACGACCCGAACTCGAGCTCGAGCTGGAGACCGAGCCAGCGAACGACGCTGAGGCAGCGGCAGCGGCAGCGCAGTTAGCGCAGATAATACATCCGTTTCCGGTTAAGCCCATATTTTTGTGTCATTTAGCGAGCAGGCAGCAGAGTGTGGAGCAGGAGGGGCAAGAGTGGCAGAGCGAGTGCGACTGGAACAGACAGCTACAGATGCTGATGGCTAGACAGTCACAATGCCACTGACATGCAGCTGGCGGGTTAATGCTAACGGGAATGGGCACGGATCTGGGCAGGGGGTTGGGGCCTGGGCCTGGGCCTGGGCACGGGCCTGGCATCAAGTGATGCGACAAGTGCAGTCGACGCTGCAGCGTTGCTGGAGCGGAATTGTCAACGCTTCCGCATATTTCTCATTTCCACAATTAAACATTTGCGAGTTTAACGTTATGGAAAATGCGACGCCCAACCCCCCAAGGGTTGGCACATTGTACGTGTAGGCCTTAACGGGGTGGTGGGCTGGCGGACCGTTACTTTGCCCTGTTTCTTAGATAAATCAAAGCTGCAATTAATAATGCAGTTTCGGGTGGTCAGGGGTAGTCAATTTGCTGCACCCCTGGACGGGAAGCTCAAATGGAGCTTGGCGCTTGAAATGCCATGTAATTATGTGCCCCTCCCGCACCTGCTGCAAGTAACAGCGGAAGTTACGCTGTGCTTTGTGCATTGCTCCCGTACGCCCGTCTGGCACCTTATCTGCCCGTGTGGCAATACGAAATTTCCTCATCTGGCTGCATTTTTAGGAGGCAGCTGTTAATGAGCCACGCACGTGACTGTTGCAGCAGCTGTTCTCTTGCGATTTACAGGTGAGCTTTCTAGTGAATCACCGGCATAGCCAATGCCTGCTGTGCAAACATTCGAATACTCGTAAATAGCCTGGTTCGCACTCATGAATATGCGCAGGTAAACAATTGTCGAATTCCGTAATATGAGTGAACAAAAAATCGTGTTGATTAAAATCGATCAATAATCATTATTATATAGAATTGTTTATTAGCAAAAGACTATTAATAAAAAAATTAACGAAAAATAAGTTTAGATTACATTTAATAAAAATAAAAACATATACTTTTTCTATATGTTCAGTTTTAATTTATTATTATTATACGAATAGAAAATAGTAACAATTTATATTTAAAAAATAAACTAATATTTAAAAATATTAAAATTAATTGTAAACTTTCATCACTTTATTTTCTTGTAATTATTTAATCTCATTTATCAAAATAGTAATACTAAAACTAATTTAATGAAACTATATAATCAGTTTATATACAAACTGAGCTATATATGTGTATGTAAATACATATATATTTAAAAGCCCTTTAACCTACACACCAAAAATGCAAATTTATACAACAATTGAAAGGGAAGTTCAGATCAAACCTAAAGAATGACATGCAACAAGAACAACAACGGCATAGAATTTATGCCGCTAATATAAATGTTAAAAAAAATAAATTAGCGAAATTCCGGAAATTGTAACAAATTAACATTGGCGCGAATGTAATTAGTAACGCTGTGTTGGGTGGGTGTTTTTTAATGCCCTGTACCTAATGGATGGGCAAATGGGTATATTCAACCATGCGTGTGTCATAGGCAACAGAATTAATATATATGCCTGATCCGAAACCCTATAGCGCTTGAGACAATCTGAATGCTAACATTTTACATTTTGAATGTTGAGTATACTATTTAATATTTGGGGTAAATAAATTGCCATCCTGGGTATAAATACATATGTATGAGACAACTATTTAGATTTGTACCGATTAAGACTATCAAGGACTCGTTTGGATTGGTTGCGACCGCAAGCAAATGTCTTCATAACTTGGCTGTTTAAAGGAATTTTTTCCTGTCCTTTGTATGTACGGAAGTTAGAGAAGGAGGACTATCTGTTGGCAACAAGACATCAGGATAGTCTTTGAAATGGCAAAGCAAAAATAGCCATAACTCGGTCAGATCCTGGCAAAGGACATGGTGCGTTAATATCATAAGGACTATCTGCAATCAATAAATGATATTTTAATATAAAGAAAATCGTGCATAGAGAGCAGCTGTTCCCGCAAGGAATGCTTAAAGCTTCTCTTTTCATTCATGTTCGTGAACCATTTCTATAGATCTGCTGCTTTTTGTTAACCAAGACAACATCCATGGTACCCCAGGACATATATGTCATCTGAAAACCATTTATCATCATTATTTGTTCGACCGTAGGCGTAGTTCCTTTGGCTGATACAGACAAAATCGGCGTATATATATATTGGTATCCTTTAGATTATGTCTGTTGAAAATCTTGAACTCTTTAGGCTCGTTAAAATCTACAAAATTAAATCTTTAAAGTAACGAATTTCAAATCTATTTTAAAAAATGATTCTTTTATAAAGCACATTAAAGCTGTAAGCTATACTGAACTATATTCTGTGAATAAAATTATTGAATAATAAACTTATCATTAGACATATAATGGGACTTTACTTGTAATTTGTGACAACTTTTGGTTTTGTCACCTTTCCCAGACAAACTCTGACCCACTGCGTTCCCAAAACACCCACACTTGCCTAGACGAACACGGCTTAAACACTTTGTCAATGCCCAGCGAGCGAATATTTCGTGGGTGTTTGAATTTATTAGCGGCTTTGGCGATTTTTGCACTCGAAACTGTGACTGAGACTGCGACTGGCGACTCGGCTGACATGCTTTGAATTTTTGATTGATTTTCAAGCAATTAATATTTATTCATTTCGTTGTATTTTTTTGTTTATTATTTTTT